ATCTTCAACAGCTGTCTAGGCCTTTTCTTGGACAGTATCTTAAGGTTGGCATGGTTGTCCACCATGGTCACTTCTATGTCTGCTGCTGCCCACTGGTTGTTGTTACACTGAGTCGTATTCGACTCATTTGCTTGGACCCCAGCTGAGTTGTTATTCTGTGTTGCACGAGTTGAAAATTGTGGGAAGGTGAAGAAGTCAGCCAAAGGCTGTTGCTTGCTCCTCTTGTTGCTGTTCATGGACTGACAAAGCTGCTCTAGCTCCTTCACAAAGTTTATGGCACCCCCAACAATTGATGCTTGGTCCCCCTGTAACAAATATTTATAACAAGATTAATTTGGTCCAATCCCAAAAAAAAAAAAAATTCAGTTTAAAAGAACATATGGGTAGAAATCCATGTGACTTTTTTGAACGAAAAGGGTTAATCCCAAAAACATTTCAATCTAAAGAAAATGGAGATGCAAGGGACTTCTAGTTGTACTGCCTCCCTTAATAGTGGTTAAGCCAGTTTATCCTCACATTCTCGGTTCTGTGTTCGTGTATCTCCCTCCCGTAATATAGCTTTTGTAAAAGAAAAACAAAAATAAAAATATATGTAGCTCGATGAATTTTTTTGGCCAACATAGGAACCCAATTTTTTATTTTTGTGATCAAAATGTAAAACTGACCCTTTGAGCATAAGATTGTGGCATCAATGATCTGAGGACAGCAAGGTACTCATTCATTTGTTTGCGCCTGTTGCGCTCCACAACAATGTGCGTCATCCTCTGGTTCTCAATTTCCTCCTTGTTCTTGCTGCTCTTGGTACGACGCCGTTTGCGCCGACTTGTTGTTGCTAGTTGCGGCGGTGCTTCCATGGCAGAGAGGTGTTGTCCTGATTGGCAAGATTGATCAACCGTGCAGGCCTCAGGTGAGGTGTTAGGATCCCAATCTTTCACATTTTGCAAAAGTGAAGGAGATGATGAACAGTAGTCCCAATATTCATTGTTGCCTTGTTGGTCTTGTGAGATGAAGTCACTGCCCCAAGAACCACCTCCATTAAAAGAGTAGAAGTCCTTGCAACCAAAGCTAAATGGGTACTCTTGTGGGTAAACCACAGCTTCTAATGTCATGCTTTAATCACTCTAATCACTTTTTAACTAATGAAAAATCTGTTTAATTGTCCAGTGAAGATTTGTTAAAGAGGACTCTATAGTAGTGAGTGAAAGTGTACGAGGGGCTTTTGTGTGGTTCAGAAGGGAAAAGGAAGTTAGAAGGGAGAGGAGGTTTTTTCTTTCCACTAAAAGAGAACCCAAATCAAAGAAATTTTTATTAGGGTTGAAGCTAGCTAAGCCAAAGCACTACACCCAAAAGACCAAACAAACTCGCCCCTTTATCATCTCTAATAAGAAACTCTGGTTCCTTTTTAAAGGAGCTTAGCCAAGCAAACAAAACGCTACATTGTGTTGCACGTGAGATTTCATGTAGACCAGTCTCTCCATTAGAGGTTAGAGAGAGATCTCTTTTTGCTCTCTCACAACTTACATGAAATATGTCTACTATCACTATGACGTTTCGGTCTAATAATAAACTCATATGAAGAACAGCTTACTCACAACAACAAACAATTTGATCATACATCAATACTATATTAGTTGGACTGATTTATTACAACATGTTATTTGTACTTGAACTCCTAATCGCATTATTGATTACATCTTGTACAATGAATTTGCTTGCATAAATAATGTTACAATCAATCGTCGACACAAGCATGCGAGTAGCATGCATCTATCGTTAGGAAACACTCAAAGCTCACTTGTGTAGATATAATCTCACTCTTTAAATCTAATCCTTATGAGTATTATGAGTAGTACAAGTAAAAATTAGTATATTCAATCGACAAATTCTTAAACAACTATTTGGTACTACAGTCTAGTACTATTTTTCTACATTTATACGCGAGTTATGAATCTCACTGTTTAAATCTCATTATTATGAGTATTATGAGTAATACAAGTGAAAATTAGTACATTCAATCAACAAACTCTCAAACAACCATTAGTTCCATAATCTAATGTTTCTTCACTACACTTATAAGTAAAAAGTCTTAATTTTAAATTTTATAGATGATAAATACGAATATACATATAATTTATTCTTTCACCTATTAAGCACCTCTAATGGATTATTAAATTAATTATTAAAACTCAATGTTTGGAGAAGACATTTTGTTTGTGCGGGCCCAAAAGCATATCCCATGTCATGAATAGAACGCCATATTAACCGTGAGGACAGCAATCTCCCTATTCAACTCAAATTTGTACGCATTGAAAGGGGATAATTTAGTCTTTTACCCCGCTAGTACTGTACTTTTTTCATAATTTTCTGAACAGAAGATGTGACCATGGTTTCATTTGGCAATAATTTGGTCGGACACTTGGACATAGAAAAAGAAGAAGATGACGAAAAGCTGGTGATGTCCCAGAGATTCTGATGAAGATCTATAAACAGAGAGAGAGAGAGAGAGAAAGAGAAGGAGATAAAAACAATACGCAGCAGCTTGGTTCAGGTGTCGGACATGCTCAGAGGAATCCATGTGACCTCACTAACAGCCACTCTGTAATCATCTCAGATGCGGACTTATAACGTTTCCGTCACTCTTTCCCAAGATCCCACTGCACCATTTACTGGTTCTTGTGTTTTCCTTTGTTTGGCTCTCAATTTATTGTTAATTTTGCTTCGTGTAACGATACTGAGGGGGAGAGTGTTGAACATAAAATCCCAGATGAACAAATTAATAAACTATTATAATTACTTGAATGATAAGTTCACGTGATTTTACATACAGCCACATTTACTACAACGGTGTTAGTTTGATTCACATTTTTGCATTGAGAATCAAACAAGAGATTTAGTTAATTTTACTAATAATTTCTTTAATAATTAATTAACCGCATTTCAACAAGACATTCTCTAGGGCTTTCGGTGTTCACAGGGTTTTAGCTCCATAGAATTTTGCCAGCACCGGCCATTGTACTATTTTGATTATTTTTCCGTTTTTAATATCGTTGTTCATTGAATAATCTGTTGATCAATTATTCCACTGTTTGCCTTCGATCTACTCAAAAATTGAAGAAAATCCATAACCAACTCATTCCTTTGAATAGATCACGAATTGTTGTAGTTAATAAGATTCGACGACTAATTAATTCTTAAATAAAACGCAACTTGGTTGGTGTCATTTTGTTTTTTGTAAATTTTGTGTTGTCTTCCTTAATTAATTTTTTTTAAAGGGGAGTACCTAGCTATTTTAAAGTATTTTTTATTTCATATCTGCTAAATTATGAGTAAAGCAGGGGTTGAAACCAACTTAGTGGATCATCAAGGATCATCCCTTAAAAAGTAACCAACTTGAAAACAAATTAGCTATTTGATCAATTTTGTAAGGATTCAGTGTTTCATTAGAACCTTAATTTCGTTTACTTAATTATTTAAGATAACAGTTATTAGCACTCCCAAAATGTTATTCTACACTCATCATAAGTGTTTTTTTTTTTAATATATATTATAATTATAGAAAGTTTGGAGTGCAAATTAAGATTTTTGGAGTACTAATAACAATTTCCTTATTTAATTACAATTAGATAACTGGCGTTTTGTAACTTTGTTGTTTATTTTTAAAACGAATTTTAAACGACACTACTACATTAAATAGTAATCGCAACTAACAATAGTTTGTTGTGTAAAGACAACTCGCATTGCTTAAATATTGGCACGATGAATTCTTCCTCACAAAGACATTGTTGTGCAAAGGTCGTGAAAATTGTGTTTACACGACAAAGGCAAATTATAAATTGTGCAGGTTCTTCACCTAAAATATAAGAGAATAAGGTGTGTTGCGCATAACTAAAAGGTATTCGTCGCGTTGGGTTTGTGGCGACGACATGTAGTCGTTAAGTAAGCCTATACGCAACAAAAATATTCACCGTGTAAACTTTTATGCAAAGCAATTTGTCCCAAACTCTTTGATTTTCGAGTAATATTAATATTATTTAATTAAAAAATTTCGTCGTTTACATTTTTTGCAACCAACAGTTTCCTTGCTTTTAATCTTACGCGATAAAGGTCATGGCATCGCAAAGGTTTCTTTTTATTTTTTTTATTTCCTTTACTTTTCTGTTTTTATTAAACTTCATATTTTAATTATTTTTTTTATAATTAATATTAATTAAATTATAACAATAATTAATAAAGAAAAAATTTATTTATTTATAATATATATGAAAATGTACCTATAAGACGAAAAAATTGTATAATATCCGAATATTTAAAAAAAAAAAAAAAACTACAAAATAAAGTCGTTGAGGCCTGCTGGGTATCTTGTGGGTGGAGGAGCTAGGAGCTCGAAGGTGGTTGAGGAAAAGCTGGCAAGAATTGGAAGCCGGATAACTACGGGTCGTGTAAGATCTAGCTCATCTTATTGTTCTGCGCTGCAAGCATGGCATCTTGGCCCGATGGCTGAGTGTCAAGACATCGTGCATTCCTCATCCCCAGAATAGCTTTACTAGGCCTATGACCGAGCGTATGATCCTAGGTCTCAATCAAGATCAGAAACCCTGCATCCCCGATCAGAGTAATGTCCTCAATCAATGTCTCCAAGGGAAGTTGCGGTGTCACCTCCTCGATAACAGCCTTAAGGCTGGTTTGGTATTGCTGTGCTTTGAAAAAAAGCTGCTTCTGTTGTGCTGTGAAAAAAAATGGCTGTGAAAAAAAGCCAGCAGAGTGTTTAGTAAACTTTTTTGTGAAAGTGCTTTTGGAAAAAAAAGCAGTATGATAGTGTTTGGTAAACTTTTATGTAAAACAGCTGTGACTGTGTAAAATGACCAAAAAGGGTATAATACTAGATGTGCCATTAATTTAATTTTCTTAACCAATAAAGGTGAATTACTAAATATACTTTATTTGTAAAACAAACATATTTATAAACTTTATCTTAAATATTAATTAGTATGACAAACTACTTCAATTGAAATATTTTAGACTGAATAGTTAGAATTCATTAGTACAATATTGTTAATGTACTTAAAAGTAATCTAATTAGATGCATTCATCAAACTTGCCGCTATTCTATTTCTTAATAACGAGCTCAACTCGCAAATACAAATCATCCAAAATTACAGGGGAATAAAGAGAAACTGAAACAAGTGTGGCTTCCATCTGCACTGCTTTGGCTGTAGAGGCACAAGGACGATCCCTCTCTCTCCCTATCTACAGATAAATATATCTTATAACCGATGTTCAATGCTTGGTAAACTTCCTGAGGACTTCAAAGTAATCGGGGAATGTTTTTCTGGTACAACCGGGATCCTTGATAGTAACTGGAACGTCTCCACAGGCAGCAAGAGAGAAATCCATGGCCATTCGGTGGTCATCATACGTGTCTATTGCTGTCACGTTTAATTTTTTTGGCGGTGTGATTATGCAGTAATCTGGTCCCTCTTCAATAGTTGCTCCCAGCTGAAATTTAGGTCCGAAAAATGTTAGAGAAGTAATAAGCATATGAAGGTGTGGGACTATCAAGTGTGAGGGCAGCCAACTAAAACGAACCTTTCTTAGTTCAGTGCAAAGGAGCTGCCATAAGCAAAGCAGTCAAGTACTGACTACTAATTGATCCAGAGAGCTTCACCTGAAAACAAGAGATAAAGTATGGATTGAATTGATTAAGTGCATCAAAACTGCAGGCATTACATAACAACCATAAATATACAAGACAATGCAAACCACAACTTCCCCCCTGGAAGGCCTCCCTTTCCAATCACACGGACATGAGGGCAGTTTGTTCCAAGAAAACAATCAGCATCCACACCAAGCTGCTTAAGACCATCAACTAATTTCCTTCTTTAGCTCATTGATCACAAATACATCGACTTAACAAATCCAAATTCTTTCAAAATTTCATCTTTTCTTTCATCACTCTAATGCACATCACAGCAACTATCCTTTTGCATTTAAAACCTTGAAAACCGAAATACCCAGCATTCTAAATCACCAAATTTGACTAAAAATTGAAACAATATCCTAAAAGAAATTGAATCCAGACATCACCAACCCATAAAAGTAAGAGATTTTCAATAATCAACAGAGTCAACAACAAAAGAAACATTAAATTAACAAATAAATGAATAATTAATCAGTTATGTAAGAAATCGGAAGTGTAAAACACACCTTGAGGGGTGGGTGGGGGGAGGAGAATCGACGAATGGGAGGAGAAGAAGAAGAAGGAAGAGGAGAACAGGGAAACGAAGAAGAGAACACAGGCGAGAAAAGGGCAAAATCGAAAAAATGGAAAAACCAAAATAAGGGTATGAAATTTTACGAGAAACAAAATCTGGGATAAGAAGAATTGCAACGCAGCAAAAGAAAAGAGCAGCCAAACCCTAACCTAAAAATTTAATTAATTAATTATAGCAAAAATTGAAAGCAAGTCGAGTAGTTGGTACCTGGAAGGCGACGGCGGTGTGGCGTTGAGAGTGACGGAGAGAAACGAAAAGGAGGAGGAGGAAGAGGTGCAGCGGCGGGAGTTTTTTGCAACAGAGAAGGAGAGAGTGCAAAGTGTAGGATCGGGAGAAGGAGAAAGGAGAAAGGCGGGGGCAGTTTTGGTAAATTGAAAAAATTCATTAATTGGGTACTGTAGCTCCGCGTTTTGGAAAAATAAGCGGCTTCTGGAAGCTGCAAAATGCAGCTTCCACTTTTTGGCTTTTTTTCATGTGAAACTTTGAAATAAAGCTGTTTTGGGATGTTTACCAAACACCAAAATCCTTATCAGCTTTTTTTCATGGCAACTTTTTAAAAAATCACCTCAACCCCAAACTAGGGCTTACTTTTCTCCACGATAGTAGTATGTAATAATAAGAAGAAAAAAAAACATATTACTATTTAATTAATTTTTAATTAAAATTTATATACAAATATAAGAATATTAACAATTATATATGCTTACATGGAGCTGTTCAGTGATCTGATCACCAGGTTGAACATAGACGTCCTTGAACATGTCGATCTCCAAGAACATAGAACTGTCCTTGAACATGCTCGTCACGCAAGATTTTCTCGTGAAAATATTCGTTGCGCAATATGTTGGCACCAAATCTTTAGCTTACCGCATTTTTACCCAAACATGCACGACGAATTATCCAATTCGTCGTGCTAAGCCTTCTTAGCGACGAAAGCCTTTGTTGCCTAATGATTTCAACTTTTTTTATGACCATGACGTTGTCCTTATATTGTCCCGCAAAGGTGCCTTGAGCGATGCAATTTACATCGTCGCATAAAGTTTGGTCGTGCAAATAGTTTTTTCTACTAGTGAGATGACCCAAATGGTAAATAGTTTCGAATAAGAAGTGGATAGAGAACATTCCCTTTCCCCTTCCCCTCCGTTCTAAACATCATTGTGGTATTTTCCTTTTGTGTTCAGGTAGTAAAAGTTTACTTTTTCTATTAAAATAAAAAGGAAAAATAAAGTATAATAGTGATTTTATGAAGGGATAATACTATTCATATACCTATTTTTACATCTTACATACCCTTGTCCCAGTCTGAACATCATTGTGGTATTTTTCTTTTGTTTCTGGGTAGTAAAAGTTCACTTTTTCCATTAAAATAAAAAGGAAAAATAAAGTATAATAGTGATTTTATGAAAGGATAGTGCTATTCGCATACCCATTTTTACTTCTTACAGATCCTTGTTAACTTTTAACAATTGATCTTATTTAATTCATTTGATCCGATGACTATAAATTGAGAGGGGTGTGTGAGAAGTAAAAATGAGTGAGTGAATAGCGCCCTTTATAAAAAAGTATATTGTATTATAAACAATGCTGCTATATATGACACCTTAAATAGTAAAACTATATTATTTATTTTTCTTCTTAAAGTTCAGTACACAAGCCAAGCTCTAGCTACATTACATGCATTAACTTAATATTCACCATTTAATGGTCAAATATAGTCATATGATATTCTCTCTTGGTGCATATAGAACCGCTATGTGAATGTATTAAGTAAATTTATGTACAGTTGTCAAATATTAAATATATTAAATTTTACGATAAATTACATTTTACCCCCAATTTCTTACATCTTTAAAACATTTCAATTTCATACAAAAAAAAATCTGTTAAAAAAACCCAAAAGTCCCCTTTGTCTTCCCCACCCCACCCCACCACCCCCCCCACCCCAAACCGGAGCCCATCTCCCATCACCCACCCCCTTCTTCCATCCCCCATCACCCATCCCATTCTCCCATCCCCCATCACCCGAGCCTCCCCTGCAACGTTCAATCTCCATCTTGCTCCAAATCCGTCAATCTCCATCCCAGAAGCTAAAAACTAAAAAAGTTCCAAATTTTCCCACACTTAACAGAACACAAAGAAATCCAAACATTTCCTACCCATTTTCTCTCAATTTCCCTCTAACCAAACACACCCTATTATCTTTCAAAAGAATATGCAAAGCCTACCCATTCAATTTCAAATCCTCAAAAACCTAGCAAAACTTAAAAAAATAAAAAAACTAAAATATCCAAATTCGTCGACTCCGACCCGGGCCACTTGTTCCAGGCGAGTCGGGTGGGGTGGGGGAGTTGTGGGGGAGGTGGGGGTGGGGGTGGGGAGAGAGTGGAGGAGATAGATGTGGGTTAGGGGGTGGGTTTCTGGGTTTCAATAGTTTTTTTTTTTTTTTAAAGGATAAATTATTATAATATTTTAAATGTGGGTTATTATAATTATTATAATATTTTAAATGCTGGGTTTCAATAGTTTTAAATGCTGGGTTTCAAAAAAGATATAATAATTTATCCTTTAAAATATTATAATAATTATCTTTTTTTTAAAGGATAAATTATTATCTTTTTTGCACGTGACACACATTTGGTAGCCACATCAGCATAAATGTGGCAGTCACGTCACCTCTTAAAGGACCATTGGATGGAAAATGTAACTAATGTATTATATTGAAACAAAATATTACGTGAGGTTTGGAGTGATTTTTTTTAAAGATATTGTATGAGGTTGTAATACTTCTCAAACCTGAGGTGGTAAAGTGTAATTTATCCTAAATTTTATTATAACTTATATATATGTATATATATTTTTAAAAGAAGACATAACTTGTTATGACCAAAACCTATTTGATCTCCCTAATCAATAGGAGATGTTAATCAAAGGCTTTCAGCGATCTAAACTGAGGGCTGCTCAAGTAGCACGACAACAGATCACCTAACAAAACACCCCTACCTTTTCATGTCTTAATATATTAGGCTTCGTCAATTGTGGAATACAGTCCAACCTATGAGAGGATCGCACAAGTCACCACCTAACAAGGCACCAAATTAATCCAGATTATGTTTCCTAATTATCCCCATCTGTTCCCTAATGGCATGTGCCTCAAGCGCAAACTACGCTTACCAGAACCTTTAAACTTAAGCAAGTGGCAACAATTGCAAATTGGTTTATTTATTAATTGACGCTCCGGTGTTTTACACAACTTTTGGTCAGATATCAGGTGCATTATACTGTTTAAACCTATTAGAATATTTGTTTGTTGACTTGTTCATGGAATTTTGGACCTTAAGTTTTGGGAACCTGCTAAGAGTTATTTCTTTGCAATTGATTCGTTCGGATTATAGCAATACTGGCTGGAAGGGTATAATGGGGACTAGATAGCTAACGCGTCAGTTTAGTATTTTTGTAACTATTTCTGAAAATCGATTTTGCTACATTTTGAAGCAGTAAAATAAAGTAATTAAGTGATAAATAAAATATATTTTTAACTGTTGTGAGTGAAAACTGAAAAATAGTGGCACATCGTTTTATAATTTTGATGTAAGATTGTGTAGCTGTGCATAATGACTAAAATGAACATGATGTTGAAAGTGTGATTACTAGTTAATTTAGCAACAAAAAACAGTATTAAATTAGATTATTTTGTAAAAATTATCTTAAGCCTCCAATTTAAGATGGTGGTGGTTGCGAAGGGTAGAGGTGAGGGAGGGTGGGCAGTGATGGGTTATGGTTGCATCAATGGTGATGGAATGGTGGGGGCGGCAATGGTGGTTGTGGGGAGTGTAACCAGGATTTGAGTTTGGAGATTAACTAGGATTTGACCTATGCTGAGGTACCAGTAACGATTCTCGACTGGAAGAAAAAGATTATGAGAAACAAAACTATCTTACTCACTTCACTCACTCACTCTCCCTCTAAAGCATAGAGGACAACGGTGATGGCACCACCTTTCCCCGGCCGACCGAGATCCCAAAGCACAACCATCTTCATCTTTTCACCACCACGAACTCAAATTTGAGTTTCATTTTGTGAAAATCGAGCCGAGAGGCTCTAACTCAAACTCTGTCGCAGGTTCATCTTTTTGGGGAGATTCTTGCCGTTTTCAGTAAAGTGAGGTCTAATACTAGTACCAATTAATAGGTCTCATTGTGTAGATCAAATTTCATGTATTATTTGTGTTAATTAGGTGAGAAATGATATAGATCGAAGATGAGGAAATTGTCTGCGGTTTGCACCAAACCCCGACCAGATCGCAGTCGCCTTTCAAGCCACCGTCATCCATAGGCTAAGGTTTGAGCATCCCATGTTGGAGTTTTTGGGCTCCTTTGGTCCCACATCGGGGAACTCAAGGGAACTTGAGGTCCTTATATTAAGTTAGTCACCTATATTAGTAATTAGGTATTGGACCATTAATTGTGTGGAATAGGCTTGATGATTGTACCAATTAATATTAAACAAAACAATTCACTAGAATTCTATAACCCAGTGCAGGTTGTAGAATTAGGTAGTTGTATCTTGGTCGAGCAAACGAAGTAGAATCACAAGCACAAGAGTGGGATGGAAATACTCTTTGAAAGATATAGTTTTTGCGCTAGCCTCTACCTTTGATTTATTAAAGTTAGTATCATTTTAATTTTTGTATTTATTTTGTAATTTCATTCTGTGTTGCCAGCATTTTTGAGTAATAAAGTAAAAGTATTTCAAGTTTTGTATTTCCGTTATTTTTGTTTCTAAATTGTTCTCCAACATCCCATACTTTGGATCCATCTCGGAGGGAGGAGATTCGAAAGCTTGAACTTCGGGCTGAGGTCCAACCAGTTTTAGGCTATTTCTGGCCCGCTTCTGGACTCTTCGTAGGTAATTTTGAGTTCCTCATCTCTCTAACTTCATTTTGACATAAAAATTGTGAGAAATGGTTGATATTTGACTCTGATATGTCTTACCGGAAAATTTCAGGGAAAACCCAATTTTCAGTGAAACTCCAGCCAACCGACAGTGGTTGACGACGGCTCCAGCGACATGAAGAAGACAAGGAAATATTATGTAACGGTGACAAAATATCTAACGACGCTAGCATTTTTCCCTAAATTCTTTGATGCCGACGCAATATTTCAACCAATGGCTGGAATTGGAAAGATTCTAACCAATAACAATGAAATATTCCACCATTGCACATGCTGATGCCTAAACCTAGTTTTAAGCACCTTTAAACCTCGTTTTGAGCAAATAAAGGAAATTTCGAGTTTTTTCCTAGCATTTACGAGTTTTGGATAGTTTAATGATTAGTGTAATGGTTTATCATATAATGGGAATGAAACTTATTCCGAGGAGTACGAAGGTCAGGCAAGGCAAGACGACTACAACCCGACGACGTATCAGTGAGTGAGCTTTGTTTTAAAACGTATATTATATAAGTTTTCATAACTGCTTCATTGATGTGCTTTTACTTATAAATATAAGTGTTATTTGATGATGTTGAGATTTATGGAATTATGATGTCATGATCATACAT